GGCTGCACCGCGGCCATCGTCCCCCGCCGGCGCTGCACCCGCAGCGGGAACGCCATTCCCTCCCTCCCTCCCTGCCTGCTGGAGCCAAGCCGGCGAGCGCCCAGCAGGATCGAGCTCCCGCAGAGCCGCTCCAGCCGCTCTCTGGGGACAGCCATCGCTGCTGAGCCCCTCCCTGGGGTGCACCGAGCGCTGGCAGCTTCCTTGCGGGGCCTGCACCCCTCCCAGCGCCGGGTGCCCCTGTGGAGCAGAAGCCGGGAGATGGCTGTCTCGCCACCCGGCTGCTCCGAGCGGTGTTTCGGCAGAGCCTGGAGCGGGCAGGTGGGAGGAACTCACTCCCGGTGGAGCCAAGCACCTCTGTGACTCGCCCACTAGCTCGGGGAGCGCGGCACAACACTCGCCTCCCATCAGTGCCGCGGCAGCTGGGTGAGGGGGGCCATGGGGTCTCGCCGGGGCCACGCTGTCCCCTGGTCCCATCCGGTGACCCAGAGCATCTCCTTGTGCCGCAGGGCCCCCGCCGACGGCACTCTCCGGCTGGCCGCTTGCCGCGGGGGGCTGTGAGCGGTGCTGGCGGGAGGAGGCGCGGCAAGAGAGGTGGGTGTGCGCCCCGCTGCCCCTGCACGCTAGCCCAGCGCCGCCGGCATCAGCCCAGTCCATCTCCCTGCAGGGCTCCCCTCTCGTCCGTCCCCACGATGCCCCAAGCCTCGGAGCACCGTGTCGGCCGGGCCAGGGACCACGCCGTCGTCACCTCCCAGCCCAAGGCTGCCACCAAGCTGCCCAGCGGGCACCGGGCCCTGAGCCAGGAGCGCCATGCTGCCGCCTTGGCCTCTGCCGCCACCAACGGGCTCTCCCCAGCCCCCAAGCTTCGCCTCCTGCCGCCCCGGCCCAGCCCGCTGGACGACCGGGGCAAGAAGCTGGAGCTGGACCGGGGTCGAGCCTCGAAACGGGGGGAGGCTCTCCGCAGCTCGGCGTGCCGGCGAGGGCCTGTGAAGGCGGACCACGCAGTGCGGGTGCCTGGCTCTCCGCAGGCGGGTGCCGTGCCGGGCAGCGCCTCCTTCTCCCTGCCTGCTGGGGCCTCGCTGGCAGGGCATGAGGCAGAGCGCCGGCGGAGCAACCTGGCCCGCTCCAAATCCATCAGCATCGGGGACCTGAGCCAGGGCGGCAGCGGCAGCCCCGCCGCGGCTGCTGCGGCAGGTCAGGGGAGGCGC